GTAGAACGACTTGGTGGCCCGCTCGTACTTGCAGCCCAACCTTATCATCCACGAGTGCGTCGTGGACATCGAAACCGGAAGGTTCACCTGGTACGCATGGAGCCTGGAAAGATCCTCCTTGTCGTCTTGGAGCAGAGGCCCGTTGATGTACTTGCAGACGTCCTTGATGGTGACACGCGGTTGTGATATCATCCACGCCAGCAACTCACTCTTCAGATCCTCCTCTCACATGATCCAGTCCGGCTCGTGCGCACCCCGTGCATCCCGCCTGAAAGGTGGACGGGCACTACACGGCCCTAGGTTTGCTAGAGGGAGCTGTATTGCCTCAGTAACCTGGCTTCGCCATCAAAGGAGGAGGGAGCAGGTGGCGACGAGCTGAACTAGGCTGGTTGACCATTCGGCGCGAGAATTTTTATTTTTTTCAGACCAAGAACCTTGAGTGCAATGAGGGAGAAAGCGAGGAACGGACTGGGAAGGACAGCAACGAGAGCGTGTACGGACGGAGCAGGTCGAGTGGCGTTTTGCTCGGGCTGACTACAGCGGCGCCGGATGGAGCAATGGCACCGGAGCATGCGGGCGACATCGACCCGTGGCGCACGGACGAACATTTCTGTGTTGTCAATTTTTTTCGTGTTTTTTCTGACACTCCGTGTTGGTTTTGTGTGATGACGTCATGACATCGTCACCGGTTTTGTAGCGACCCGTCAGAGATGGCGTGGCTAACCCGGGTGCATTGGTTTTGTGCCTGATCGTGGAAGACCCCTTCAATGTGGAACGATTCTTAGCTAGTGTCGATATTTTTCACTGCAGTGCCTACACAGACGATCGGGAGAGATTCGGGTGATTGTCAATTGCTGCTATGATGGCTTTGGTTGGTTGTTCTTTTTCACTGTACGGCCGCAGACACATTCTGACAGCACTTCAGACAGCAGCTTTGTGCCCCGTTAGCTGCTTGTTCCATTCCTACCATGGTGTTTTTTTACAGACAGCACTTCAGACAGCAGTATGCTGTAGTCGGCAATCTTCCGTTTTGGTATAGAGTGGGACAGGGAGGGGGTGATGCTACTGTAGTCGAACGGTGGGACGGACGTGCAGTTCAGTTTTTGGGCACGCATACGGTGCTGCAGGGATTTTTAGGTGTACCTCTTCGGGCTCTTGGATACCTTTTTCTCGTTAGATGTGTGCGTGTTCTTTAGATCCTCAGATGGCTCTAGCACTTTCGTGACCACGGGCTGAGAGTCTTTTGCTAGATTTTGGCATTTAGCAACTGACATACGGTTTAATGTGAAGAAGACAACAACAACAACAACTCTTATGGTGGGCAAATCCGCTGTGATTGGCTGATTGAGCAGATGTGCCGAGCTCGTTCCAATTCTGATTCCCTCAACGTTCATGGCTGAATGAAAGACTGAATGTTAGCTTCTTGGCTGGCCCAGCTTGTAGCGCGCAGAGGGAGTGGAGGACTCCAGAATATCTGTCGTTGATTTCTATTGACTTGCGGACCCCTCGGGGCTAGTTTATTTGAGTAAACCTTTTTAGGGTTTGCTAGCCTGCGACCACGCGACCACGGGAATCGACCGCGTCGAAGTGTTGGATCAGTACGGACATACGAAGGTACTGGGAAAAGAGATCGGAACGGGTATTAATGTTAAGACAACAACAACAACAACAACAACACAAATATCGGTCACACCAGAGGGTCCTAATTCCAGCGGCAGTTGTACCCGATGGAGGTTTCTTCCGAAATGGGTACAATGGTTGTCAGGCCAATTAGCCTGACGGTGCACGCGTGTTGATTTCAAACTGTACCCTTAAAGTGGTGATAAAGTGCCCGGGTATACCCGTTTCTCGTTATTGGTTATCAAAAAGAAGGTGATGGCCATGTCCAATGTGGGGTGCAAAGGCAACAGCACGTCGGCATTCAAAGCAGGGCATACAATAGCCTCGATGTGAGTGTGTGATGTATGCTCCTACTCTCAGACGCGCTGGCTCGGCAACGCGCCCTGGGCATCCACGGCGGGTTCGGCCGCTAGGCACGGGACGTGCGCCTCCGGCGTCGCTACAGCGAGGGAGTGGAGCAGGCGTAGCAGCAGGCGGCACACGTGATGCCTCCACAGCAGCAGCAGTGCAGCAAGCGGCAGCAGCTGAGTCGAACGTCACCGGGTGGAGACTGCCGTCAGCATCTTCGGTTGCCGGGGCCGTGGCTCTCGTGCCTGTGGTAGGAGGGGCATGGCTTGTGACGGTGTACGCTCTGCGCCAGAGGCTGTGCGAGCACCATCTACAGCAGGTAGAGCGTCGTTTGAACCATGTATCAAAAAGGTCAGGTCTGCCACTGGGGTCCCGAAAGCCTTTCCGTGTTGCGGCACAGCGGTTTGTCCTGCGCGCCCAACAGCTGTTGCCATCACCCAGCACTAGCCCAGAGCTGGGGTAGCCCAAGACCGCCCTTGTTTGATCCCATCAAGAGCTTCTGCTCTTGGTACTCATCGCCAGAGCCCAGTGGCCGCTTTCCCGAGATCCAATGGGCACGGGTCAAGTTTATTGCGGCCTGTAGTTCCCACCAGTATCCTCCGTGTTTTTGTGAGTGGTGAGCACATGTACCATTCCTTCGTGCCGTCAGTTGACACGGCATGCCAAGGTGGTGTTCTTGCAAGCTACGGGGGGCTTTTTGTGCAGGTCCGCTTATCCCACGCGTTGACGAAGTTCGCGACTGGCCACTGCAAGTCATCATCACCATGTTGTCGCTCAACAGGAACACAGACGCACGCAAGCCCACGACCATTTGTCGAACGCACACATTGATGCCGCTTCCTCTTCCCTTCCGGGACATAACGCAATCAACAGATTATTCTCGAGCGTGGTGTTGTATCCGAGCTTTTGGAGAAGAACTTGCGCATGCCGAACCGGCGTATGGTTGGCTTTGTGCATCGGCAGTACATGGGGTTGATTTGGTTGTCTTCAATTGAACAGGTCCGGAATGCGCCGTCGGTGTTGAAAAATAGAGCCAGTTCGACGCGAACAGACCTGAGGGTTCAAGTTGCGGCTTACCCAGCCGTAGTACGCGCCTACCCTCTCTCACTTGTGTAGAGCATCTCTGCTGTTGTAGCACCACCATGCTGCGGGATAGAAGGGCTTTCGTTTGCACATCACCCATGGCAGTGCTCGCTCTAGTTGCAGTTGCGACCCTTTTGGTGCGACTTCATCAGCAGCAGCAACCAGGGGGGCGGCCCTTTGGTGTTGTGTGTGTTTTCGTCCTATTTACTAGTCTATGGCGGCAGTCCCCCCGTTCTTCGTGGTGAGGCGTGTACTACACTTTTCAGTGTATTTTTCGTACAACTACAACCATCCAGGGTCACACAGGAGGGAGGGGGTAAACACCAGGGCTTTTTTTTTTCTTTTTTTTTCTTATCATGCCCCACCTTCCTCGTGCGGTGCGTGGTATAGTCTTATGGATGAAGAAAAGAATGAACACGAAAGACTCGAAATATGTCCAGTACCCAGCAGTTTTTCCTCCACTCACTGGCAAGACTCCACCACATCCCGTTCGAATGTGGGCGTATCTCGAACGAGTGTATCTGTATGTGTATTTAGTTTTCCCAATACGTTGTTTTTTCCCGTCTTCCACCGCGTATGTTTGTCGTGGCTGCTGGCTGGTTCGTCGGCTTGCTTACTATAACCGGCACGGGTATCGTCGGAATATTCTTAATCGACACGCCCTGGCATGGTTTCGCAATTGATCCGTCCTGCCTCCTGTCGTATGGGTATCCGCTCCTGTTGTTGTTTGTTGTCTTGACGTCCTTCGTTACATACACAGAAACACGGAAATTTTCCTGCTGTATCTACAACGCACATAATCCCGTAAGGGCACCCACAACCATACACCCGAACCAACTACCCAACACTTCTTCTACACCTTCCCAGCATAACATACAGATAGATACACAAGATGGCTACCAAACTGTCTTGTTGACCCTGTTACCCAGGGGGGAGATATCACTGTGTGCTGCTCGGAAAATCGTGGGAAAACAGAATTCTCGCTGACGCTGAGGCAACCATAAACTGGAAATAACAGAAAGAGAGAAGAGAAAAAGAAAAAGAAAAAGAGGAAGAGAAAGAGCAAGCCAGAGAGAGGCATACGCCAGAACCACCACCATCCATAGCGACAAACAAACAAAACAAAACACACAAGATGACACAAAACGGGCCACCCTTGACACCAAAGGCACGTCATCGCTAGTTGGGGGTTGGTGCAATTGTGCAGTGACGGTGGGGGG